TTTTTTTTTTTTCTTTCACAGTCTGCAGTGACAATAAAACAAAACAAATAAAAATATATATATCTTTAAAAAGAAAAATAAAAGTAAGATGCAGGCTGTGGTGAAAGCAGTGGGCTGTGTGCCAAGGGGGTTTAAAAGGTTTTGCTGTAGTACAGAAGCCACAAGAAAGCAGCAGCGCCTCCTTAATGGCCGATTGTCGGATCCTCAGTTGTGTCCAGGGGAGGAATCCATCCAAGAGCCAAAGATGAAGAGGGCGGAGTCTAGAGTGAAATACAAGTAGCTCAGATGCAGATAGGAGTGGTGATGTTTCATCCTCCCGAGCCTGTAACAGCAAACCTCTGCTTTGTCCGTTCAGCAGTTACAGGAGAGATGAGTCCTGCACTTGTTCGGCCACCCCTGCGTAGAGGGAGGGCAGCAATTCAATAATTTAAAAAAAATAAAATAAAAGAAGAAAGAAAAAGAAAAAAATGTCTGCCTCCCAACTCCTCCAGCCCTTTCCTCCAGGTTCCTGCTAGAAGGTAGGAAAAAAAACCCCTAAAATTTCATACCCCTAAAGCAAACTAAGATTCTCTTCCTTTGCAGGATGAACATCCGCCACCCTGGCAGGTAAGCCGTGGGAACAGTCCATTGTCTCCAGAATAAGGAGTCTCTGTTTAAAGCAGAATCATTTCCCTAAAGGTAGTAGAGGGTCCATACCAAGTTTGAACCATCACCTCCCTCCACACTAAGGAAATTTCCCTAATGTTCCCTCCCCAAAACCCTCCATCTCTCCAAATAGATCCATGCTACTTCTCCCCACCCGGTGTCTGGGAATCCGGGGTGGCAGTGGAGGGTTGGCTTTGGCCTTTGACATCCTCCTTGGAGTTGTGGGATGCTGAATGGGACTGATGACTGGATCCTTTGCTGGAAGACTGTGAAGGATACCTTCTTCTGCCTTCTCCTGACAAGGAGGGTCGCCTTCGAGATCCTCCATCCTCTCCAATTGGGGGCTGAAAGGAAAGAAAAAAAATGTTATAATCCTGCTTGTAAAGTTTAAATTTTTTTGACAACATGCACATAGGTTCAGTGGTTAGCTGTGCTTCCTTGTCATGCTGGAGTGCCAATCATGCCAACGGGGCCCTATCTGATAGGTATGTGGTAGGCCAAGGCCTTTGTCTGGTTCATCAAATTTACAGATTTTTTATTTATTTTTATTGACAGCCTAAAATACATTTGGGGTCTCTGCACCACTTCTTGGGCATTCAAATTTGTTTTAAGAAAAATCAAGATGTTATTGTTATGGTAGAAAACATGGTACAACTGTACCTAAAAGTAGAGTGACAATGGTCTGGCTCTACTACTACTAAGGAGTACAATCTCGTATACTTACATCTACTCGGAAATCCTCTAGCCGTCGGAACTTGCTCAGGTATTCCTGCAACTTTGGATCAATATCCAGGTTTTTGGCTTTGGAGTATTTCAGAAAGGCCCAGAATTTCTCAAGCCCATATAGTTGACCTTGAATGAGGTAAAGTAAAAAATGAGGATTACTTGAATAAGACACAAGTAGGGCTGCAACTAAGAATTATTTTCAGTATTGATTAGATGGCCAATTATTTTTTCGATCGATTAAAATTTTTAAAAAAAAAAAAAAAAATTGCATCCTTAATTTAATAAAAAACCAAAAGAAATGGAGTGTCACAAATTTTACTTCAGAATAACAATGCATGCACGGTGCAGTTTAATACAAAAAAAATATAAAGAAATTGTTAAATCAGGGCTTGACCTAGATAGGTTCTAGCAATTAAAGGTGGCCATACACTAGTAGTCTTTTCTTGTTCAGCAATGTATGGCCAGCTTTTGGATTAGAGTGCTTTAGGTAGGTTAAAAAACCCTAAAGCACTCTTTAAGGCAGGGGTGCACATTAGGTAGATCGTGATCTACCAGTAGCTCTCAAAGCTAATTCCTGGTAGATCCCGAAGGGTGTGAATGGCGGCCCCTTTATTCCATTTTGGTATATTTATTTTGCTGTGCACACATGATTACCTATTAGCCTGAGTCTGCTGAGCCAAGCTACCCGACACCTTTCTGGTGGATTCTGCCAGGAGAGCGATCGAGCGAGGAGAGGCAGCCAGGAGAGCGAGCGAGGAGAGGCAGCCAGGAGAGCGAGCGAGGAGAGGCAGCCAGGAGAGCGAGCGAGGAGAGGAAGCCAGGAGAGAGAGCGAGGAGAGGAAGCCAGGAGAGAGCGAGGAGAGGCAGCCAGGAGAGAGAGCGAGGAGAGGAAGCCAGGAGAGAGAGCGAGGAGGAGAGGAAAGCAGGAGAGAGAGCGAGGGAGGTTTTTTTTCTCGTTGGTAGATCTCATGTAGCTCGTCATTTGAAAAGTAGATCTTAACACATAAAATTGTGGGCACCCCTGCTTTAAGGGTTAAAAACACTTATTTGTACTTTATTACAGATACAAATAATGCACATAATGTACAGTATGTGGTATCCCCACATACCACTTAATACACCACTAAATGAAAGCCCACTTTGTCCTGAACAAAAAGTACAATTTACCTGGATACACTTCAAGTTTTCAAGTAGTTGCAAAGAAATTAGTTTTACCAACAAATACCAAAGTTGCAAAACTGGGTTCAGGCATTAAAACAGCACAGCTATAAAAGTAATTGCCACCGTTAAATCACCAGTCTGTGGCAGATGACAGGCCAGCAAATTTTAATTCCTTTTGCTGGCGAGAAGACAACTCAAAGTGCAATGTCCAGCTGCCAGCCAGGCACTGGCACAAACAAACCCAGTAACAGGAAGCGGAAGCCGTAATGAGTGGAATCAACAACCTGAATCAAGCATAACCTAGAAGCTTTGTTGTAAAATAAACCTGTCATAAAAAAAATAGGGGGCATCATTGCAGAATATGGCTCAGCCAGCTGGGAGAAGTGGGACTTCTCCTCTGGATCCCCGCTGCTCTCCCCCATCTGTATGCAGCGGTGATCTCAGGAGAAGTGAAGCGCTGCAGCCACCGGCGGGGGTGCGGAAGAGGGAGCCGCTGTCACAGCAGCATGGCTGAGCGGTGAGGAGAGCCGCTCGGCCAAGATCTGACAGTTGCCTGCTCTCTCTCTTTTCAGGACACATGCGCATGAGAGGAGACCTGGGAACCTGCTGCAGTGGAGGTAGGAAAAGGACAGGGGAGAGACAGCAGAGAGAGAAGGGACAGCAGAGAGAAACAGGGGATAGAGCGAGGAGAGAGCCAATAGAGAGGGCTGGTTTACACCACAAAGTCTGCGTTCCAGAGTGTTCGGCCACTGGAATGCAAGCCGGCCAGCTCAGTGTTCAGGGGCGGGAGGGGGCGTGGAGTTGTATGGAAGTCAATGGCACTGCAGCCACGCCCCCCGCACACGGAACGCAGGCACATTAGTGCTTCCAGCATTTTTGCAGATCGCACTGGACCGCCACGCCCCCTCCCATGAATGCGGGTGTTTTTTCGTTGGTAGATCTCATTGAGCTCGTCATTTGAAAAGTAGATCTCCAGACGAAAAATTGTGGGAGCCCCTGACCTACAGAGGTTCTTTCCATAAACAACTTTTTATTCACTTTCCTATGACCATGCTAGCAAATTTGACTTCTTCAAAGAGTCATTACCCTAGCAGACCCCCTTCCGTTCTTGTAAATCACTGCCCTCTCCTCCTCTTCTAAGAGAGTCTAATTACTGTCTGTGCTGACCTAGCACCTCCACTTCCTACATTTTATTCACTTTAGTCACTTGAGTGACAGCTCTGAGTCGGGTGACATCACATTCAAGATGCCCACGTACAATAACAGTCTCAGGCCTTATGGATATCTAAGGAGGCTTTCATGGGTAAATAGAATGCATAAAAGACATCAAATGTGCAGATCTTATGAGAAAATTGTTGCTGAAATGAATTTGCTGGCAAAAGGGTCTTTAATATTGAATTGGCTCCACTAAGGTTATAACAGCCCTCACTCTTCCGTTAAGGCTTTACACAAAGATGTCTGTATATAAACTATGGGGAATTGTACCCAATTTAACCAAAAGAGCATTTGTGAAGTCAGGTACTAATGCTGAAGGATAAAAGGCCTGGTGCGCATATCAGGATTCCAATTAATCCCAAAGGTTTTCAATAGGGTTGAGGTCAGTGCTCTGCAGGTCACTCAAGTTCCTCCACATCAAACCATGGCGCTGGCTTTGTGCACAGAGGCACAGTCATGCTGTAACAGATAAAAGATACTCCCCAAAATGTGGCCACAAGGTTGGAAGCGCACAATCGTCAAAAATATATTTGTATGCTGTAGCATGAACTGTTCTCTAGGTGTGATGGTCAGAGGACTACAAACCACATAAGTCAGAACTTACCTGCATGCTACTTTCTAGTCAGTGGCTGAAAGTATTAAACAGTGTCAGCAATAAGCTTCCATATTTGACATACAAAAGTGTTCCTTTACTTATAAGATGGGTGTGTATAAATCTATAGGTAGACAACCCCTTGATTATTTATCCTATCCATTACAAGACTCACCCGTTTCATAATCCCTCCTGGTTTCTTCCTGGAAGTCCCGGAAAATGTCCACTCTGAACTTTCTCTCTAGACCATAGCTGTAGTATCGGAAGAGGCACTCCAAACCGTACCTGAAAGGAAATGCTAAGGATTACTCTACAAAGAGCTAGACTTTGTCATTTTATACATCTCTTTAATGGGGAGTGATAATGCAACTAATAATTATTTTCAAAGCAATAGTGACTAAGGGCACAGCTGCACTTTTAATAGGATGGGGTTTTTTTCTTTTTTTAAATGCTGCATTGACATCCACCTTTGAACAGACAGAACTTTGGTTCAATCTGTGCCGAGATTGCTCTCCTGCTTATCACAACCTATTAACTGGTGAATCTGTCACTAACTTCTATGGTGCAGGTTTTGGCTACCCTACTGAGCGCCTCTTCTTCCACCTATGTCCCTGTGTACATATCTCAGCAATTAACTAAACACACATACTTTAGCAGAGTCTAAAAGACAGCCGTACGGTTGGACTGTCACCTACCTGTATCCTTCCTTTCCATCCTCTACAGAGAGTTGTCGAAACTCTTCGTACATCTTCTTATTGAAATGATCACGTAGGAAGAAGGACCAGAATCGAAACAGTGTGTTCATTTCCTGGGACTGGCCAATGCCTAGCCGTTTCCTCTCTGAGGGGAAAAAACAACAAGTGGGACGTCTGCCAGTGAAGGCCTTGCAAATCTCACCTGAACATTAAGTGGTGGCAAGTTCTCACCATTAAGGCAACGTCGGCGGTACTTGTGGTAAACGTGTTGTGTGAATCCATTCTCCTTCAGCAGCTCGTGGGAAGGATGCTGGAACTTTGGCAGAGACTGAGGTGTACATCCAAAACTGCTCAGAGCTGGAGCCCCCTCCGAAGGGCTAGCGTTGGAGCTACAATAAACAGATAATTGTTACAGCTGTACTTCCAATGGTACCAGAGAACTCAAGGCCATTTGCAAGGCCATTCCTGTCAATAATCTGCCAGCTCAGTAATACTTGCCTAGAAGATTAGCTTTAACATGTTGTGTGTCACACTCCTAATATGTACATCCATTTCCCACCCTTCCATCAGATATGCTGCATGTCCAGTGCATCCAGGCAAGGGGGAGCATGTGACCTCCTCCCAGCATGCAGTGCTCGGGTCTAAGTAGTCAATTGCCAGGCCCAAGCCATGACTTAACTGTGGTACGATCAAATATGGATCTTACAAAAAGGTTAGAACTGAGAAGGAGAGCAAGGAAAGTACCAGTGGGTACCCAGCTGAAAAATGTACTTTGCAACGTAAGCACTCAAGACACCAAATACCTCAACACAGCCTCAGAACACCCACCATTTCTGCACTTCCTGATACTGGAGAACATACCTGCCCCCCTACCTTCAATCGCCAGTAAAATTCTGAGTGCCTAGATATCTGTCCTGGCTGTGGCCATGTTGAGGACAGGGGGCAAAGCCACTTCAAGGAAGTCCTGGATTGGCAAATGCTAATTCAAGTGGTATGCATTCAGGGGTTATGCAGGACTGAAAAATGCTAAGGCAAGAAATAAGTGTGGAGGACTTATGCAGTCAGCTACCTGGTACTGCAGTGAATTTAGCATTTTTGATTTCACAACAGGTACACTGTTAACCAACATGTAACAAATTGCAGGGTGTCAGTCACTTGTGGTTTTGGGCATAAAAAAAAAAAATTCACAGAGTGTGCACCTCAATGCCATGAACATACCCTGAACAATAGTGCACATATTGACCTAGTAGCACAGCATGCATTGGAAACAGCATAGAGTGCTGACTTGAACACATTGACTTCCATACTTTCTAAGCCAAGGACCTGCAACAAGTATACAGATTAGGAAAGTCAGAAGTTATCATCTTTGTACTTGATCTGAAGCATTAGGGTTAATAGGGTCACCATAAGGGTCAGGCACAAGCAATTTCAGTTAAAGTGAAATTGTTCCGTAATGTCAATCTTCAGATTATTCTCAAGACAGGGTTGCTTAAAAGTCATTGAGTTCTATTTTTTTTTCTTTTGCATGCCCAGTGCTAAATTAGAAGCATTGTATTGGTTTATAGCTGTTTAGTCACCATGCTACTTTACTGAACCATACTGATTGTAGATCAAACATATTGTTGTACACCATCTAAACTCACAGTTTATAGAAGGAACACCATTACTAAACTCTGGGGGATCAGCAAAAAATCTTGTTGTATCTACTGCTATCTTACCTCACAGAGGCAGTTCGAGGTCGATGTTCCCTGGAGTCCATCACCCACCCAACGTGGCACTCCATGGGTGGATTAGAACTGTGGCGTGTTTTCCTTTTTCTTGGCGTCTGAGGGAAAAAAAAAAAAAGGAAGAGTAAAGTCAATGAAATGTATTCATAAAAGGTTTATTAAAGCGAACTTTACTAGGCCTGAAAAAAATGCTAAAAGGCAACAGTGCATAACTGAAGCACTTCATGGTCCCATTTTACACGCAAAGCTCTTGCGGCACCGGGAAGTGTTTATTTGGCTCTCCCATAACATTTTACAAAGTGTGCAGTTGCACTCCTGCGGACGCCAGGAGGAAAACTAAAAGTATAAAAGTATAGCAAGTGAAAACCATAAACTTCAGTATACTACCTAATAATAATAATAAAAGAGCTGTATTTGAATTCATTCAGCAGTCTCTGCATGGGCAAAAGGCACGCTGTTGACGATCAGTTCCTCAACTGATTTTTGTTTAACACTTTTTTTCTTTAAATTAGGTTTAGATTGCAATCCTTTCCCTCCGGCAACATCGTAAATACAATTAAAATTTAAAAATAAAAAATGATTAATAATAAATTGAGCCCCAAAAACAGCTCCTTCCATGTTACTTGGATGAAACCTAGGGTTTGATACAGCAATTTTAAACATACAAGAAGGCAACCCCACCTAAACACAGTGCATTACCTTTGCATCGATCGATCTGGCCTCCTTCACAACAGGATAAAACCGTGGCGTGAGCGTAGGATCCTTCAATCGAGGGGTGCGTGGGGTACGTGGCGTTCGTGCATTGCGATAGTTTGGAGATTCTGGGACTGTGGTCGGTAAGGAGCGGGCGATGGTGGAAGGTTCAGGAGCACCAAACAGCTTGTTGGCCAAGGCGTCTGTGGGAACTATTAGACAGGAGGAAAGTGGTCACAAAGTTTTCTATTCATCAGATGGCCACACATCACTATTTAACAAGGGAACAATTTATCATTGTATTTCAAGGTATGAGAAAGACAACACATGGCACTATTACCTTGCTGAAATTTGGGGGGACCTGGAGGAACTTCTTGATTGGGATCAACTGGAGGTTCTGGCGTTAAGGTGTCAAACTGCTCTCGGCTGATCATGTTCACTTTTTTAAAGTTCTCCACCTCTTGCTGAAATGAAAAAATAAGACTGAGGGTGAAAATGGCAGTCCGGATGTATATACAAATCTCAAACACATCATGAATCAAGTCTTGTCCAAAATTGAGCTTGCGCTTCCCAGCCAAAAGACTGTTAATCTGCTCACTAATCTCATGCTCCCTGTCATTTGTGAAAAGGACCCATGAAGTCTAATCTTTCTCACACAGGCCAGTGAGTCCCTTAGAATGCTACTACTTTCAGAGTGTTATGGTCTCAAATTAAGAGGCTGCTTCAAACCCATCAGCAAAAAAATCAAGATCAGACAAAATTAATAGATAGGATGACAATACTGAATGTCACTTCCAGACATCCAAACTGAGCAGATGTATAAACTTGTCAAGACACTCGTGTTCCTCCTCTGTTGTGGGTTCAAATCTATGGGCAAAGTAAATGACTCAAGGGTGAAGAAATACATTCACCTAATCGTTCTCAGGGAGAACCAGTCCATTGTCAGCCTTCGACTCACAACTGACCTTTCAGAGTGCTATCCAATATTTACAGCAAGGTTATTTTTTACATGTATCCAATGCAAAAAAAAAAGAAGCAATTTGGGATAACCAGAGCAAAAAAATGTAACAAAAAGCTACAAACTTTAAATACGCAACCTAACTAAATGCCATTCACTGGCAAGGCAACTCTAGTGTAGCACACGTAGTCATTTCGTCCAAGTCATCTGGCTAGGACACGAAACTTGAAGATGAATATTCTAAAAAAGGTACACAACAAAACTACTGCTCACAAGATCTGCCGAAAGGGACTGAATGTTGACCATATCCACAAAATGCTAGTTTCACATTTTTATTTTATTTTTTAAAAGGGCTTCCCTGCAGAATAAAATTCTTACCCCTCTGACTGCCCTCATCAGCCATCTTCAAGTGCTACCTTTGCTTAAGAAAGCAGAGATCAGCAGCGGAAGGGATATGAATTAACACCTGAATACTTTTTAAACTTGTGAAAATCGCGGTCACCAATACGTGTACAGCAGAGTTCTCTGTTTGGGCACAGAGAGACAAAAGGAACACATTTGTCTATCAGATTATAATCATTTATACTAAATCTGCCCCAAAAAAAATTCTTCATAGCTTTTTTCACAATATGAAACCACAAAACTAACAACCTGTTCAGAACAGCAGTGACAAGTTATCTAACAAACCAATAAATCTAATAAAAGTATTTTTTTTTCAATAATGGGACTTGTGTTGAAGGGTACCGTGAGCAGTCCTTCGTCTGTGGTATAGAGAGGCAAGGGTGCACAATGAGCCTTTCCACAGCTGGTTAGCATCTCATGCCCAGCATAGTCCCACCCTCTCTGCCCAGGCCTAGAATGTGCTCATAGAGGAGTCACAGCTGGACAACCTAGTGTGCAGAGTTGGACCTAGAACCTGCTGTGTCACAAGAGGGCAGCTGACCTGCAAGCACACAGTGAACCCAAAAGAACACAATCCACGGTCACATGTGGAGTACAGTTCTATGGAAGTACCAGGAGAAGACAGATGAACCTTGTTAGCCTTGCTTCCTTATAACAAAAAGCTTTTTCTGTCAACCTTACTTTTAAATTGTATTTTGTTTTGTTTAACAGCCAGAGCATAGTCAGAGGCTACATGAGACAAATGGCACAGCTTTTTTGTTAAACTCTGTATTTCTTGTATTTTCAGAAGGTTCTGTCCGCTAACCCTCCAGGGATTTACCTAACCGAGTGTCATTTTTAGAATTAACCGAGGATGCCACCTGCTGGAGAAATTTTGTATTGCACTGATAAACATTTAATTTTTTTGGTCAGGCTTTGGCACGCCAGGCACAGAGGAATAGAGGTCCCTTGGTATTAAAAAAGGAATGCAAGCATGAGGAAACCGATGTTACTATAAAAAGGGGTTTATATTTTCCTTTAGACTCTACTTTAATGTTAAGAGATGCTGACCTAAACAGTTTAATTGCTTGAATAAATAAAAAAAAAGAAACCTTATTTAAATGTAAGATAAGGTGACATGTTAATTTTAGTGCACTGGCCTCTGGGGTTATTTCAGCTTTGAATGCAACACATAACTGTACTATGAATGAATTACCCGCTGTGACTGCTCACCTTAATTTGTGAATACTCGGGCTCAAATGTCTCTGTCCATAGATCCTGCTCGTAGTAATACAGGCCATCGTTTATCACTTTGGCCCATTCAGAGCTCATCTTGGCCCGGGACGTGTGGTTTCCTGTGCGGTCTCCTCCAGGGTGCTTGCGCAGGGACGGTGGGGTCTGTGTGACTATGAGGATTTTGTTTACATCCCGGTCATCGATCTCAAAGTCCGAGTCCTCGTCTGACCAGTCAGTGAAGGTGTTCTTGCGGCCGTCCATCTGCTCCATCTCCTCATCGAACATGAAGTCCAGCTCCTCTGGCTCGTCCTGGTCCTTTGAGGGTTTCTGAGGGGTCACCGCAGGGGCCATCGCTTGCTGTGGGGACTTCACGTCCTCTGGCTTCTAGGTTAATTCAAAAAAGGCATTACTCTCAAAAGGAGGCATTACTACACAGAGCAGCCAAACATCCTAGAG